CAAGCACTGACATCCTTGCAGTTGTCACTAGTCTCCAAAATAATTTGCCCCACTTTACATCAAGGGATAATTTCAGAAACCTCCCCTGATCTTTCTGACTATTTCATTGGCCTCTCTCTAGATTTTTAAAATTACACTAATCTCCTTTAAGATTTATAATCTTATAATATCTAGATCCAAGCAACAATTAAAAAGTGATATTGGGAGAGAGAAAATAATATTATTCCACTATTATTTCTCATCTACTAAATTGTTTAATTAATCTAATACCTATCCAAACACTAAAGAAAATATTAAAATGCTATTTATTATCAGGAATTAAATCACATATGGCATCAAAAGTAGTGTATCATCAAAAGAGTCATCCCAAATTGCATTAGTTATGCCCAATCTGCGTTTGTCCCTGGTCGGCACATCCTTGATAATGTTATTTTAGCACAGGAACTGCTGCATTTTATGAAAAATAAGAGAACAGGCAGAAATGGTTTTATGACCCTAAAACTTGATCTATCAAAGGCCTATGACAGATGGCAGTTCTTGGGGAGGATGAAGATAAAGATGGGTTTCTGTCCCACCTGGGTTAAATGGATCCTTAACTGTGTCACCACAGCAGCATATTCCTTTAATGTGAATGGTCAAAATGCGGGATATGTAAAACCATCCAGGGGAATTAGACAAAGGGAACCCCTATCCCCTTATTTGTTCCTTATCTGTGCTGAGGGGCTGTCCAACTTGATGAATCAAAGACTCAACAACAAAGCTCTAACAGGAGTCAAAGTGGGGAAGGATTGTCCAAAACTGTCTCATTTATTATTTGCTGATGACTCTCTATTTTACTGTAAAGCTAGCACATAGGAAGCCAAACAAATGAAAGAGATGTTTGCTGCATATGAAAGAGCTTCAGGCCAGGCCATCAACTATGAGAAGTCTGCAATTTTCTTTAGTGCAAACACAAACAAAGAGCTCAGAAAGGACATATGTGCTGAGATGGGAAATATGAAGGAGGCTGCAAGTAGAAAATACCTAGGACTACCTATGCTAATAGGTAGATCAAAGCAACAGGTACTCGGATATATTAAGCACAAGGTGAAAGACAAGCTACAAGGGTGGAAAAGGAACCTTTTAAGTCACGCAAGCAAGGAGATTCTGATCAAGTCTGTGGCAATGGCACTTCCCACGTATACTATGTCATGTTTCAAGCTTCCAAAAGTGCTGTGTAATGATATAAGTAAGATGATAGCTACATTCTGGTGGGGAGGTGGAGAGAATGAGAGGAAAATGCATTGGACTAGCTAGAACAAGATATCGCAGGTGAAAGGTAAGGGGGGACTGGGATTTAGAGATTTGGAAAAGTTCAATGAAGCACTCTTAGTCAAGCAACTGTGGAGAATACTCACCAATCCAGATTTGCTTGTGAGTAAGATAATGAAAGAAAAGTATCTAGCAAAACCACAGAACTGGGAAAGAGAAACCCCTAGAGCAGCTTCTTGGACCTGGAAAAGCATTTTTGGAACAAGAAATCTGGTGACAAGAGGGATAGGGAAGAGGGTAGGAAATGGGAAAACAATTGATATTTGGCAGGATAATTGGATACAAGGGACTGAGGATGGAAGGATAAAAACTAGAAGAGACCCACGGTGCACACTAAGGAAAGTAGATGAACTGATAGCAGATGGAGTTTGAAACCAGGAAATACTGAATCGCTGGTTTATAGCAAAGGATGTCCAAAAGATCAAGGCTAACAGGCTACCAGGATAGATTGTATTGGCAATACACCAAAGCAGGTGTGTTTACAGTGAAATCTGCCTATGATGCGGCAATGGAAACAAGGCAGCAACAGCACATGGGAAGACTGAAGGGAGATAGTGGAAGCACGAGCTATGATCAGCAGAACTCAAAAATCTGGAAAAGTGTGTGGACCTTACAGATGAAACACAAACTGAAGCACTTCATCTAGAGGTGCCTACATCACAGTCTGCCAGTGAATGAACAAATACAAAAGAGAACAGGTAAAGGCAGTCCAATGTGTCGCAGTTGTGGGGAAAAGGTGGAAATAATAGAACATATGCCGTTCTTTTGTGGCAATGCTGAAACCACATGGAAACTAGCACCTCTACAATGGGATGGATTGAAGGAGCTGTGAGGTAATTTTGTAAGGTGGTGGGAAGGGATATTAGGAGCAAAAAAAAAGGAACAAGGATAGGAACACATAACACTAACTGTAAACATTCTTTGGCAAATATGGAAGGCAAGGAACAGGAAAGCCTTTGATGAAAGAGAAGCAGACCCAAGGAAGACAGTGCAGAAAGCTATAGTAGAATGGGATGAGTATATAGAGGCCCAAAAAGATACAGCTGGGGAGTTCATTCAACAAACAACAATCTCAAACAAAGGGGAGAAATGGAGGCCACCAACAAGAGGCACGATAAAGATAAATTCTGATACTGCATTCTCACAAAACATGGAGAGAACAAGTATAGTGTGTTGTGACCAGAAATGCAGAAGGAGAGCTGATGAAAGTATGGGCAAGAGCTGAACTCAAACATAGCGAGCCACAGGTGGAGGAAGCAGTAGCAATCAGGATGGGAATGCAAATGGCCTAGGAAGCTAACTGGAAGGCAGTAGAATTCCAGTTGGACTGCAAAGAGGTGGTGGACATGATTAACAAGGAAGATAAGCAGCAAACCAGGATAGCCATCATCCTTGAGGACATTGCTAATATGAGATGTTTGTTTGAACAATGTACTTTCTCCTTTGTTCATAGAACTGGGAATGGCTGAGCACATAGCTTAGCAAAGTTTGCAGTAAAGCTAACAAAAAATGTTGAATGGGAAGTGTGTTTTCCCATGTGGCTCCATGAGAGAGCACAAAATAATTACAGAGGAAGTAACTCTGATGTATCTAAGTCTTGTAGTATCAAGTTAATGAAATGAAATGAAAGTATGAGGTTTGACAAAAAAAAAATTCTATATATTTTACTTAATGTAAATCTAAATTGCTCTTTTTCAGTTATAAATCCATTATTAAACATGATCAATAATAAATAATCAAAAAAATCTATAACTAAAATATTTTAAAGAATGAGTTTTAATACCAAAAAGATATTAGCAACTAACCTTAATAATATTGACAAGAGTAATTTATGATGTCAAAAGTTTGTTCCCTGTAATATTTTAGTTGCAAATTTTTATTATTATTTATTGTTGATCATGTTTGATAATGGATATGTAACTAAAAAGAATAATTTGAATCTTATATTAAGTGAAAATATAAAATGATATATACTATTTTTTGATGTTATATATAATTGATTCCTAATAATAAACAGCAAATTTTAGTGATTTTTAATGTATGGGTTGGTATTAAATTAATTAAATAATATAGTAAATAAGAGACAATGATGAAATCACATTATTTTATCTTCCCTAATATTACTTTTTAATTATCGATTGAATCTAAATATTATAAGTTAATTAACTTTAAGAAAAGTTAATGTAATTTTCGAAACATGAAAGGATGCTAGTGAAATAGTGAGAAACCTGAGTGGAGGTTTCTGAAAGATTAAATACAAAAAAACCTCATGTGATTTAGAATTTGATCACGATACCTTATCATTATTTGAAATCCCCACATATAATCCCCCGTGTTTCGAATTGCGTGAAATTTGGATGGAAACCATCCCAAACTAACAGAAGGTACAACCACTCGCCTTATGCAGCAAGTATACGCAATAAAAATGATTAATTTTAGTATAAAAATCAATTTTTTTTTCAAAATACCCTTTTTATCAACCAAATTCCTTATTTTATTTCTTCCACCATCTCCTTTCTTCATCCACCATAATCCACCACTCCCTTCACCTCCATCTCCCTCCACCCCGCCACCCTACGCCTTCCACCACCACACCTCCTCCCGTCTCCTGCCACCCCCCCCTTAAGCGCCACCACTCTCCCCCTCTTCCTCCCTCCTCTCTCCCTCTTCCCTCTTTTCCCCTCTCCCCTCTCTCCCCGTTTTTTCCACCTCTCCCTCTCTCAGCGGCAACCAGATCTGCCACCCCCTATAATAGCTCTTCATCGGATTTTGCCCAGAATACCTCTCTCCATAGCCCCATCCGTTTTGGAGAGCAGTCTCACTAGCCAAGTCGGGAAATCCGTGCCTGGTCTCATCCTAGCTATTTGATTAAGTTTGGGTTAGGTTCTGATCTCTTGCTGCTGCACTACTAATTTATTAGTAGTATTATTATAATAATTAAATAAAGGAGTAGTACGAGGAACACGCTTATTGTGGTTTGTGTTAATACCTACACCTGGACTGAAGTGATGGTGGTAATTGGTAAAGTTGTGTCTGCATCTAAGAGGATGTAGGATCGACAGTCCGAATTGGGTTTCGCTTTTCAGCGTGTTGTTTTAGTCCTTTTGGGGAAAAATGTTTGCCAGAGAATATAGTGTACCTTCGAGGCCAAGCATACAATGAAAACTGACAGTTCTAATGATTAAGGGAAGAAGATATTTTATATTAAAATTTATTTTGACCTATCAAGTTTTTTTTTTGTTAAACCATACAAATTTTAAGAACATGATTTTGGCCCACTTAAGCTTTGGTAACCCTCAAAATGGTTAGTTTTATAAAAAAAAAATGGAAATAAAAAAAGGAGAAATGAAGATATAAAGAGGGTAGCATGGACATTTCAAATCTATCCATTAATTTGGATGATTTACATCCAAGTTTCAAATAAGTCTAAACACAAGGAGTTACGTAAAGAGATTTTAAAAAATGAGGAGATATCATGATCAAACTCAAATTACAAGAAAATCTTTTGTATTTTACCCTTTCTGAAATTATCCCTTGCGAAAGCCATTTGGTAACTGGCATCTTTTCCATTTTTTTTTCCTTATTCTCTGTATGCTTGACATTTGGCCTTGGTGGAATAGCTACCTTGGTGAAAAATAATGCCAGCAGCCTCCAACCCAGATATACATAGACGTGAACTCAAAAGGACCTATGCAGCAATGTTGATATTTTTTCCAAAGTTTCCAAATTTTCTTTTCCCAGTAGTTCTCGAGGCAACAATACTGCCAGGTGGGAGCAAAAGACAACACTGTAATCAAGTTCCGACACTATGAAAGTTGAAAAATAGGAGAACTGAAGTTCGACATCGAAAAGATAATCAAAATAAGGACGCAGCTGCACAAAGCTGAAATTCGCCAAAGAAAAGGTTCCAGCTTAGCATTTTCCCGTGTTTAAATCATCGCCGAACCCAAACAAAGCTAAAGCAACATCCTGAACGTCTCAGCTATTTAACATCAGTTAATTGAGTATCAACACAAACGTTCACGATCAGCAACTGCTTTCTTATCACTATTGACCAGCTCTGAGTTCTGCTGGCATGTACTTCTCCATCAGCTTACTCTCTTCAATGTTAAACTCCTCCTCAACTGCAACCTCTTCCTCCCAGTGTCTACGCTTCAATGCTAACTCTTCCTGCAAATGCCTGCTTTTCATCTCTGACATCCTTTCTTCATGAGATTTCATCAGCTTCTCTCTCTGAGAAACAAATTCTTCCATTTCTTTGTCCTGAAGCTTGATAGACTTTGCAATTGCCTCAGCCCTATGTTCATAAATTCAAGATCAATTAATTAGAGCAAAAACACAGACACACACACAACGTATTGCTGAGAAGATGCTTGTGTTATGGAGTCAGGCAAAAGCACATTACATGACACGAGGATCCTCTGCTGAAGAAGGATTTGCATGAGACTGTTGAGTGATTTTTTCACGCTGCTCCTGTTGAATCTTCTCAAAATCATCCTCCTTTGCATCCCTTGCTTCATATATCACCTTGATCTGTTCCTTGAAAAATTGCTCTTGATAATCCATCTGAAAATTTAGAAGCAAAAAACAATGATGTGGTCGCCTTAATGAACAGATGAACCTGAGTCGTTTGTTGATGAACTGTCAAGCGTACTAAACACAATCAGTCTGAACAGACTGATTGTACTTTGGCCAAGCAAATTCAATCAGTCATCAGTCATACAAAACAATCTATCATACATAGTCACTGCAATTGTTTTGAATTACACCTGGAAAATCAAATTTATGGTTTCAAATTGTCCAACTACATAAATCAGGAAGGGAATGGTACGAGCATACTGATCATCAATTGTCCTTGTCCGACAGGTTATTGCTTAAGGGCATATTTTCGTTTCATGGTCTTAATAACAAGCTGATTTAAACTATTAATTAAGTAAAAAGCTTTCTATGAAGTTTCCTTTCTTCAGTTTTTGGATGGTGGAAGGCCAATTTTAATATCTGAGGACTCAGTAAAACAAAAATATTAGATCAGTTTTGCAAGCATTGTCCACAGCAGATGTTTAGAAGTGCTGAGGAAGAATAAGAGATGGGCTAGTACAACAATTCAGGGGAGTCAACTTTTTCTTCAGCCACATCCCCAAGAAAACCACGGAAAATAAGATAAAAGAGAGAAATTCAGACCTAATTAGTCGATCATTTCCATACATGTGCAAAAAAGGAATTAGATCTTTTAGCATATTTTAAATTCCTGGGAGTAACAACCAGTGAATATATCTGGAAAATTTTAGTCAAATGATTTGCAGGCAAAGGAAAAGAATCACAACTAATCAGCAAGCCAAGTTAATCAATTTTCGGCAGAAAAGATCAGCCAGGAGTGTCAACATCAATTCAACAAAATCAATTTTTGTAATGCATGCAAACAAACATGAACCCACATCAAAGATACATCAATTATAAATTCAACAATATCAAACAGATGTAACAAGGAGAATTTAACTCTGGAAGCAATAGCAGCTGCTTAACTAGTTGACACATAAATGACAACAAAGAAAGGAGCATATAACAATCATTTGCTGTATGAAGGTAGGAATGGAATTCATGCATGCATGTGGCATGCACTATGCTGCTAAAGGCCTTAATATGACAGCAACAAGAACATCAAGGCTAAAATTTTGATTCATGTACATATATACTGGTTACAAAAGGTTAGGAACCAAATAGACAATGAACTTTAAAATAAACCAATGACTTATTATCAGAACAATCAACTGCCCAGAGTAACTAACTAATTGCAAGAAACAGTTCAAACCATACCTCTTCCTTATTTTGCTCATGATGCTTTTTCGTTCTCAACCTCACATACGGTTCTCTTCTTGCATCTTCCTCAACTTTTCACTGACCAAACCAAAAGATGCTTCAAGAGCTTTTGAGTGTCTTTGTTCTTTTGCCACTCTGTTCTTGAACCATAACAACTGCTGGTTATCTTCACTCATCTGTTTGAGTTGTCTGACAACCATTTCTTGATAGGATCTAACCTCAAATTTCAGTTTTGATTTCCCTGTAGAATAGACGATTGATCAAACTCCAAGTGACATCTATATATATATATATATAGACACAAAGACATATCTCTTTTGAAAAAAAAAAAAAAGCTACCAGAAGCACAAGTACCTTGACAATGATAGTTAAAGCTGTCAAGGTCCCTCTTCTCTGCCATGAACCCATAGAGTTGACGCTTTCCACCAGGATAAAATGGCACCCTTTTGCGCTCCCAAGAGTCCCGGTCTCTTCCGTTGTCCTCAAAATGCTTGCTCAGTCGCTCAGCCTCCAAATATCCCACTGCTGACGCCTCAAAAATCAAAAGGCTCATTCCCCGATGGCCTTGTGGACCATATGAATGCCGGGCCTTAACAGCAGCATAAGAGCTGAAATAGTCAAGCAGCTCTTGATTTCCCATGCCCATCCACTACAAGGAAAACAAAAAGAAAGAACAGATCTAAAACAATTAATAACTAACACTTGCATAATTTATCATTAGTCATAATTCATCATTAGTCACTCAAGTGTCCCAATTGCTAAAAAATAAGCTAATAATTTAAGCATTTCTTTTAGCTTTATCTTCAACAATGAATTCTTTGAACAGCTTCAACTGGAGAAGACTTTTACATGAAAAATACATTTCAATTTTTTAACATAGCTATTCTAGAACTCACTTTTTATGCCATCTTAAACCAACTAGAACAAGCAAAAATGGATCCTGAAACCAAGTACCTTGTCATTTTCATCTTTCTCGTGCCTTGTGTTCATAATGACCACCATCGGTGGCCACACAATTTCCTTCTCTGTCCTTTCATCCAAACCTTCCCACTTCCCAAACATTTCCCCTGCAGGGACAGCTGAAGTTCCCCGCCTGTGCAGTTCCTCCTCCAGAAGTTGAGCAAGCTCCCTATGAAGCTTCACCCTTGTTGCTCCTTTTGTCTTTGCATGAGCAATAAGGGGCTGCAAGCCTCGAAACCAGTCAATGGCTCCAGGACCACCTTTGCAAGCAGGGCAATGCCATTGTCTCTGCGTCATTAATCTGCTCAACAGTCAAACTATCCATACATTCAAAAAGTTCATTAAACCAGCGGTTTTTCTTACGTGCATCATGACTCTTTACACTAGTGTCTGAATCAAAATCATCACTTAAAATATCATCATCATCATATTCATCAGCCGTATCTGATTCATAATAATCATCATCATCAACCACCTCACTTGTTTTAGATTCTCTTTGCAACAAGATCAGGATTCTGCACGTTTAGATTTTCTCAGAACCTCTTCCAAGGGTTGAGTAGATCCTGTTCTAGCAGACCAGTTCCAGCCATGCTTTAGAGGTGGAGGAACAGCAGGAGCTGATGTCACTTGGTTACCATCAGAAGTTTGATTGAAAGACTGGGGTTTGCCATTTCCTCTAGCAGAAGGTCTCCGAGAATCAGCTGGCAAGGTTGGCCAATTATTTCCAGCACCCCTTCCTGATCCACCACTGCTTCGCATACCTAACTTCTGAACAACATCAGAATGACCCCATGCTCTAGGATTTGAATTTTGTGAAGCCCACTGCTTGGAAGCACTGCTTCCAGCCTTGTTCTTGGACTTCTTCGTATAAACCTCCCAACCATCATCTTGAGCACTATCCAAGCTAACATCATTAACATCATGACTCAACTGCTCAATCTCGTGGTTGAGGGCCTCAGATGTATTTTTCCCTTTAGGTGATGAACTAACAGGCCCACCACTGGAAGGCCTCCCACCCACCTTCCGCGAACTCATCTTTGATCAAAATCACTGAACAGATTTAATTTAAAAAAAGAAAAAGAAAAAGAGTATTAGAACAAGGAAAGCAACAGCTACAGAGAGAAGCTAGAAAAACAATAGCCTCATGGCTTGCATAACCAAACTAGTAGAACAGGATTAAATTGCAAGCCAATAAAACGTCAAGCAATTTGCAGTATTTCATAATATATCACTGACGCAGGAAATACACTAAAACATAAGACATTGACTATACTAGTTGTAGCAACCACAAATCTCATGTCGTTACTTTTACATTTGCCATTACATCCAGTAAGCCATCTCTAGCATACTGACAGTAAGTTTTCAGACATATACAGACTAGACCTATTGTGTTGCTTGTTTATCTTGTTTTCCGTCATATTCTAACAGGATTTAAATGATGGCAAACCAATCAGTCATCTGCAGCATGCAATCTGATGAAATTCATATGCGCAAGTCCAGAGTATAATGCAATTTCACCAACAATAAATAAGTATCATACAATAAACACACAATCAGAGATCTATGCAACATAAATACAACATACAACACTAAAACACTGAACCTTAAGAGATATAAGGTTCTTAGGGGAAAACAAGAATAGACAATTGAACAAAAATAAGATTAAAAATAAAAGGCTTCAAAACCTTCTTCTAGAACAAACAAAAATTAAGGCAAAACTGCAAAGAAAAAGAAAAACCCATGCAGGGATTAGGTACTAGTAAACTCCATCACATATCTAGAGAGGAATAACTCACCGATTAGACAATCATGTACACATTACCATTTTCCCGCAAAATCATTTTAAAAAATCAACAATTTGCGAAAATGAAGAGAGGAAAAAGCGATTACCAAAAAAGGGAAAAAATACACAACGTATACACTTCTATCTGTAAGAAAACAATCAGAATTTGAATCAGTTGAGAAAAAGAGAAATAAAATCACCGATGATAAACTTATGACAAGCAGATGAAAGGGCTCCCAGGGTTTTTGCATTCTTCTTCTTTTCGTTTTCTTTTTTGACAAAAAAAAACTCAAATAAAAGTGGAGAGAATAGGAACAAGGTACCTGAGAAGGAGAGTAAAATGTGAGACAACGGTAACCGGTGGCCGGACGGAGAATGTCGCCGGCGATTACAGTCGTCAGGAAGAAGAAATGAGAGAGAGTGGGAGTGAGGAGTGTGTGTTGTGTGTGTAAAAATTGGCGTGAAGGGGAAGCCAGACCCAAACCCCACTAAAAGGACACTTTTTTAGTACTCTCAGTCTACGAGGGAGACCAAGGAAGGCAATCTCTTGACGAGCCGCGTTAGTCATTAAATAGTCTTTAGCTATAGTACTACTGTTTCGGACTTGAAAGCTTGTATTCAATTTGCCTTTTTTATTTTTGCCGAACTGGGTCTGTTTGGCATTTGAGTTTTTTGTCAAGTTTATCTCCTACAAGTTTTTTAAAAACTTTAGATACAGTAATCTCAAAAAACTTCTCAAAATTTTTAAACTATACACTTCAAAAATTTTTTAAAAAATTTCTACGGTAAATTACAATAAAATTTTAAAACAAACACTCAAAAAAACTCATTTGTCAAACGGGACCTAGATTTCCAGTCGTGTTTGGTACAGCATCTCAAGTCTCAGACCTCCCCCAAAGTTGATTTTTTTTTTTTTTAGATAATTTCAGAACCCTCTCTTGAGCTTTTTAACAATTTCACCTAGCTTTCATGAAATTTGAAAATTATATATACTTTTATCTAAATTTACCATTTTAGTAACAAAAACAATTTAATGGTCAAAATTTCGAATGAATAACCCAAAATGCCCTCATAAAATTATGAAGTTCATTTTACCTACTTATAGAATTATTTAAAAAATATGGAACATGCGCAAAATCTCAAACTCACTTTCAACCTTCATCTTTATTATTTTAAACCTTTTATATTACCACATCTCAAATTATTACCATTATCATCATGACCACTACCACCATCAGTTCCTAAATTCTAAAATTCCAATCGAAATTAAAAGAAAATCAGCATTGTTGAAGTGAAAAAATTTCAATAGCTGCATTAATATATCATCGTATCTCTCGAGTGTTGGAGTACTAATAACAATCTTATCCTTTTTAAACCCATTTACCTTCAATTTACATCTTTCTCTATTCTCCAGATCCTCCAAACAAAGCTAAACTTAATTTGTAATATGTTAAAATTGTGTTTAGAACATAATTGATTATTTCACGAGTGAATTTTATTTTTGTTTCCATTAAATGTCTAATTGTGTGATGCATTCATATGAACAACATTGTGAGTAGATTGTTTAATTGCATGAAAAATATTAATATGTAAAGCTATTATGGTCATTTTGTAGGGTTAAAGGAGGTAAGTGTAATATTAAAAATTTTATAGGTACTAGATGAAATTGTTAGAAACCTTGAGGGAGGTTTTTGAAATTATCCCTTTTTTGGGAAGTTGATTATTATTTTTTTTTTGGGCAAGGAAGATTAACATAACTAATTAAGAGCGTTTACAAATCGGGGAAGACAAAAGCCTCTATAATCATCCCTTAAAATTTATTTGGTTCGCGGACTGGATGAGATGTGATAACTCATTATCGAATTATTAATCTTGGATTAAGAATCCAAGTTATCTAGTATTTAGTTGGTTCTAGGTTAGATAGGATATATGGGAAAATAATCATGTCCTATATTTGGTTGGAGATTGGATAAGACAGGATAACTATTTTAATAGCTAAAGTACCCCTTCATTTGTAGGATTGTTTTAATAAAATAATTTATAAATTTTATTAAAATAAAGTAATTTGAAACTTTAGAATTATAAAGTATATCAAGGGCTTTGATAGATAAAAATTTGCAATCACTCAAACTCAACCCATTCGGGCACTTAAAAATAGGTTTTAACCTAATTTTTGAATCTAAATTTAAAATTCAATTAAATAATGGGCCGAGTTTTAGCTAATTTGGAGTTAAATTGAATAAAATCTAACCCATATGAGAATTTTAAATGAGTCAAACTCAAGCCAGTAAAGAAGATTTTTCTTTGGCGAATTTGAGCTTATTAAAGCCCTCATTCGCAAAGCCCAATTGATAAGGTTATGCATTTATATAGAATTTAGTTGAAAAAATAAGGTTAGTAAAGGCAATTTAGTTCAAGGGCAATATGGTCCTTTTATTATGATGTAATTAGGAGCAAATTAGCCAAAAAATTTAAATTAATTAATAAGGTAAATTTGCCAAAAAAAATTTAAAATAATGAATAGGGGCAAATTAGTCAAAATATTAATATAGTAAGGGCAAATTAGTCCATTTATTATCATATTATTATGTGAGAGTATAATTATATAATATTCAATATGAATTTGTATCACTTATAAGGGCAAATTAGTCCAAATACTGTTATGTTGGTAGTAGGGGCAAATTAGTCAAAAAAACTTTAAATTAATTAGTAGAGGCAAATTAGTCCATTCATATTATATTATCATGCGAGAGTTAAGTTATATAATTGTGAGAATATAAATTTATATTATTTGTAAGAATAAATTAGTTTAAAATTTTATCATCCTATCTCTTAATCAATCTGGAATGACTAATACCACCTGTCTCATGAGATTATTTTATCCCATGAATAGGAGATTAATTCAATTAGTTGGAATGTGTCATCCTATGTTTAAAATGCAACTAAACATGAGATGATATGGAATGATTAATCAAATCTATGTCATTTCATGAACCATAAGGACCCTAATACTTACTAGCCTGTGTATTCGAACCACAAGCTAAGCGGACAGACCCTTTAAAGTTGATTAAATTTACTTCTTGTGAAGTTGAGCTAGATTAGATTTTTTTTTTCTAGTACAAAGCTAGATTAGATTTCACCAATTTGGCTATGATATGTTTACTCTCCTTGATGGCAACAGCAGCAAAACCCAACTCCCGGAATTTGATCAAATGACAAAAGTGTCCAACACTTAAAGAAAAAGAAAAATATAACAAAAATGTGAAAGATCACTCTTCCCTTTTTTTCACAAAATTTAAATTAACTCGTCACAACATTCAGTGACCACAAAAAACCAACATAATTGGGGAAAAAAAGGATAAAACACACAAACTACAAGGTCAGGAAAAAGGGAAAAATTGAATAGCTCAGAACCCGTTTGAATTGCACTTTTTAGTAAGTTTTTGGAAAAAAATTACCGTAGCACTTTTTGTAAGATGTGACGTGTGTGAAATTGGAAATGGAAGTAGGGGGTGGTAGGGAGGAGACCCTACCCCCAAAATTTTAGAAAATTATGTTTTTCTCCCTTAAAAATTAAAAATTTTAAAAATTTTCTTTATAAATTTAACTTTTTCCCCCCGCAAAAAATTAAAAATAGTTTAAGTTATACTTAAGATTTAATTGAATTAAAGTTCGCCTCCTTAAAAGAAGTTTTCTAGTTCTTCCTATATTTGAGATAAACAGATGATTGAAAAATATGAAAAGAAATATTCTTGCAAAAACCTAAATAAAAAAATTCTTCAAAAAATGTGTAAAAGCCAGAGCAACCTAACAGGAAGGGTGAATTATGTTGATTAACAACTAAGTAAAATATGACAAATTTTCACCCAATTTAAAACCAACCAAATCACCTAAATGATCACACAAATGAGCAAGTAAAAAGCAATAAATTAAAAAGAAGCAAAACCAATTAAGATGGTACCCTTTATGGCACCTCTTTTCACTCCAAACTTCACCAAGTTTGGAGTTCAACACACCAAGTGCTTCTTCTATATTGGTGAAACAAATTAACTTGTACAAAGAAGGGGTCACACCTTGCTCACATCAAATTTTCCTACTCTAGTTAAGCCAAGGGATTTTACAACCCTCTCTAGCTAATTCTTTCTAAACTATAATTGAATGCTCACCCAAACAATGAAGAACACTTGGAACTTTTCAATCTTACAAAGAACACAAGTACAAACACAAAGAGTATTCTCCGTCAAAATCACTCATACAACACTTGTAGTCTTGTCAGTAAAAGTTGCTCTAATATTTTAGGCTTTCGGGATAAAAGATGAAATTCTGGTCCAAGAATCTCTCCAACGGTCAAAAAAACTATCTGTTAAAAACTATCTATTGGAGTTGTCGAACATTCAAACCAAATGCTCTGCATCCAAACCATGCGTCCGACACCGAATCGAACTGCCGATTCAAATATTCACTATTCGATAGATGTGTTCGAGAGAGACCAGTAACTTTTTATATTTTGCACTTAATTATCAGATGGAAAATAGAGTGAGTTAGCATCCGACACTTCATCTCATGTTATTTGCTTCAATGTTCGAATGGTTGACCCTTCATTATACATCTGATGCTGTGTTCAATTATAGGGGATATCTCTATTGTGGTGTTTCGAACATCAAATCAAGTAATTATGCGTCCAAAACTATGTCTGATGCTGAAAGACTATCTTTATTCCTTCTTATTTTTCATTATATCTTTTCGCAAATGTTTCAGCACCTTTTCTAGCAAAATGCTTACTAAAAACATTAGTAAACCATCATTTTGGCTTGTTAATTATTAAAAGCAAGGATTGATTGATCTAAGTCTTCAATCTTCCCCATTGTTATGATGACAAGCAAAATGGTAATTTCTTTTATCAAATAAGCTCAAATAGACTCCCCCATACCCTATGGTATCTCAAAGATTAGACAATAGAATTCAAGTAAAACTCCCCTAAGTACAAGCCCAACATGCAAAAAATATCATTCAATCTTCTTCCCTTTTTGACACCATAAAAAAAATGTAAGTATGAAGAGAAATTACTCATGAAGAAAGAATTGCAAGTAACTCCCTCTAAAATTAAGCACATTGTATATTCCAGTACCATAACAAAAAGATTTCCCATAAGATAAAGCATTGAACTCCTCCTTAATTAAGTTAATACCAAAATCATTCCTTATCAAATATCTATCCCTTAAAATATAGATGTAGGTCAAGTAAGTACAAAGGAATAAATCAAGTTCATAATTTTCTTCCCTTCAAAGACATTTACTCAAGTAGATACGAGAGAATTCCTGTAAAAAAATTATTGCCAAAATAAGATTGTAATATAAAAATCATTTTTCACTCATTCTTTTATAGTTTCTCCTTTTTCGAGATATACATAAATAAGTACCAAGGAGTTCATAAAGCATCATCAAAAAGAGAGTTGATTAACAATGAAACATATGGGATGCAAATTTTCATTTATTGCAAGGCTAAGAATATGTAGTGTATCCCA